GGGCTCATACAACTCTTATCACAATCCATACATACATCAATTGTGTAAAGCGCATTTGTACATTCATTGCCCTCATCATTCTCAGAACATTTCCTCAACGTGTCTTTTAAACTGTATTTTTGGATGGGCAGGATCGCTATTGGTAGCAGCCCAGGGAATAAAAAGCTGGCTTAAGAAGGAAGGCTCGCTAAGGGGTCGCGTCATGCAGTAAGGGGCACTCAGACGGGAATCATCAGGTGCTTGGCCCGGGAAGCATCATCCTTGTAGCGAAGCGAAGGCTGCTGGTCCATGCAGCAGCCACGATCTTCCGCGTGACCTCAAGGGGGCAGCACTAACAAGCGACAGGCGCCCCTGGACGCGGTGGGGAGCCCTTGGGCGTGGGTCTGGAGAAGTTGCAGCTAGGCGCCAGAGTATACTCCTTGAAGCACTTCTGTGAGCACCCCATCTCCGTTTTAGTAGCTTCTCTTTCCCAACCCTGGCCATTCCTCCCCACGGCGTTTGCCCTGGTCTCCGCTGGCCTCAGAAATAGTAACAGAGCTCAACTCCTTTGGGTAGGTGACAGGGCTCAGCTTCCTCTAGGCACCTGGAGTCCCAGGGAGCCCCGGATTGTTCTCTCTCCATGGCTCCTCATATTCCCTAGGGCACCCAGAGAGGCTATGGAGGCAGCCTGCGGTGAGCGTGACAAGGGCAACTTAGAAAGCAGAGTTGAGGAGGGTGTCTCTTCATGGGGTACTGGGGGTCTGCAGAGGCTGAGACAGAAGGGCGTATTGCACAAGCAAGGTGGCCTGGCTGCCTGGTGAGGCCGTCTTCCAGCCAGCACACTCCCCACCTTCTCAGGGGACCATTCCTATGCTTGCTCTGTGACCTACTCAAAAAGGGATTTCTTCAAAATCTGTGTGAGGCCCACTTCAAGCTCTACTTGTCCCTTCTCTCAGAACCTGTCCCTGGTTCCAGCCTCCTTCAATGAAGAAACAAGGCAAGGGGAACGAATTTACTCAGGGTGTGTGTGTGTGTGTGTGGTGGGGGGGTTGGTTGGGGGTGGGGGCAATTGGAGAGGAAGAAGAAAATTAGAAAGCTAGAAAGTTAAGGTGAAGGCACACTGTGAAGGGCCTTGACAGCCAGACTACGGGATCCTGACGGCTCTGGGGCCACTTGTACCTTTCTTAACAGGAGCCTCTCACGTACAGTGTGACGGTGTGGATGGCAGCAGCCTGGAAGTGAGTTGGAATAGACTGGGTTTGGTGGCAGGGACCTCAGTAGGGGGTTCTTCGCATGAGCAGGGGAGATGGGCTAAAATCATAAGGCTGGAGGCAAAGGAGAGGGTGTCAACTAAGAGGAGAACCTGGGAGAGATTAGCTGGAAAAGCAAAATCACATGTGCGGGGCAAAGAGCAGAGCAATCAAGCTTGAACTAGCTGCCCTGACTCAAGTGACTTGGTACAAATTCAGAGAGACCACGAATGAGGCAAAGGCCCAGTTTAAAAAGGGGTTCTAATTGGGACAAGATGAGCGTGGGGCCTATTGGCTGTTCAGATAGAAATATTAAGGAGGCAGGACGTTGTACGGATCTGAATCTCAGGCTTGGAAGAGAGTGGTTTGTATAGCGCCGAGGAATGAGCCTGGTGTTGAGTAATCACCAGGGAGAGAAGGTAGAGGACAGGACGTGTGTCTCTGGATGCCCAATATGACAGCAATGGCACAGATTAGTTTTATATCCATTTCTGAATTGCATCTGGTTTTCATGTTACACCTGAGCATAACCAGGGATTGAGTCTCATGCAGCCCTGGAGAGACCTTGAGGGCAGCTTCTGCCCTGTACTTTGTTAGGGACTGAAAACGGCAATCTCTGCCCTCACTCCCCAGAACATCAGAACTGCGTTTCCCAAAATTTCTGATAAAAAACAATAAAAGGGAAATCACCTTGCGGGCAAGAGATGAGCTCTTTTTAAAATGGATTTCCAGACTCCCTCCCTTGGGAATTCTGATTCCTTGGGCTCAGATTGGGATTAAGGAGATGGTGTGTTCAACAATTGCCCCAGATGATCCTTATCAAGGAAGTTTGAGAGATGCTGCTCACATCTAAACAAAGGTGTCCTTGAAATCGAGTGTCAGACTGAGCCGCTACTTTAACTTTTTCCTTTTCTGATCAATATCCTCTCTCCTATGATCCATGAACAAATGATGTTCTTCCTTTTCCCTTTCATAGATACTGGATTTGGGATGCAGAAGCCTCCGTTCTTGGTTCCTGTCAAGGCCACCCTGAACGGAACTCTGATCCACCCAGCATACTTCCTCCTGGTAGGGATCCCAGGTCTGGGGCCTAACATACACTTTTGGATGGCTTTCCCTTTGTGCTTTATGTATGCTTTGGCCAGCCTGGGAAACCTGGCCATCGTCCTGATCATCCGCGTGGAAAGGCGCCTGCATGAGCCCATGTACCTCTTCCTGGCCATGCTTTCCACCATTGACCTAGTCCTCTCCTCTGTTACCATGCCCAAGATGGCCAGCCTTTTTCTGATGGGCATCCAGGAGATTGAGTTCAGCATTTGCCTGGCTCAGATGTTCCTCATCCATGCACTGTCAGCTATGGAGTCAGCAGTCCTGTTGGCAATGGCTTTTGACCGGTTTGTGGCCATCTGCTATCCTCTGCGCCACACTTCTGTGCTCACCGGGCCCACTGTGGCCAAGATTGGACTGGCTGCACTGACCCGGGGATTTGTATTCTTCTTCCCCCTGCCCTTTATCCTGAAGCGCCTGTCATACTGCCGGACGCACACTGTCACACACTCCTTCTGTCTTCACCAAGACATCATGAAGCTGTCCTGTACCGACACCACCGTTAATGTGGTTTACGGACTCTTTATTATTCTCTCAGTCATGGGGGTGGACTCCCTCCTCATTGGTTTCTCCTATGTTCTCATCCTGCGGGCTGTGCTCGCGCTGTCCTCCCGGGGGGCGGCCCTCAAGGCTTTCAACACCTGCATCTCTCATCTCTGTGCTGTGCTGGTTTTTTACGTGCCCCTCATCGGCCTCTCTGTGGTGCATAGATTGGGGGGCCCCACCTCCCTGCTCCACGTGGTGATGGCTAATGTCTATCTATTGCTACCACCGGTTGTCAATCCCATTGTCTACGGAGCCAAGACCAAGGAGATCCGTTCACGGGTCTTCCGAATGTTCTCACAAGATGGCAGGGGAGCGGAATAACCTCCTTGATGTCCTCAGTTGCTACCCAAGGTGGGAGGATTAGGACCTG